TTACAGAATTTAAAAGGATACATAAGCATATTACAAAAATCTTTTTTGAAATAAATTTGACAACTTCTAAGAAGTACCTTGGAAGACAAATTAATGAAACTAACTCTGGAGGAAATACAAAATTTGAATAGCACCTATTAAAGAAAGTATATTCTTAGCTTGAAAACCTACCTATATGACAACAGCAGGCTCATAAACATTTTAACTGATAAATTATATCAAACAATTAAAACAGAAAAAAGAAGGAACACTTCTCCCCTCATTTTAGGAACTCAACATTGTGGTAATCCTAAAACTGGATAAAGATAATAGAAGAAAAAAGTATGAACATAGATAGAAATTTGTTTAACAAAACAAACTATTAGAAGTCAGATCTGGCAGAGCCTGCATTTCTAACAAGCTCCCAGGTCATGCTGTGTTGTTGCTCTTGAACCCATTAGTAGTAGCCAAAACTCACAGAAAAATCCAGACCTCCTTCCCATGCTCTACTTTATCTTGCCTTGGCCGAGCTGTCCCATGTCATCACCAAACCATGTTCTCTCTTGTCATGCTGTGGTCACGCTGGCCTTCATTTGGTCCCAGACTGTGTCAAGTTGTTCCTGCCTCAGGGCCTTTGCACATGATGTCCCCACACAGCCTGACATGGCCCTTTGCTGGTGCTCCACATGGCTTGGTTCTTTCTTTGCATCCCAGTTCAGGGCTCAGCCAGTCACCAAAGACTTCTCAGACCAGTAGAATGGAGTACTTCATTCCTTGGGGACCACCCGGTATTCCCCGCTTCTTCATTGAAACTATCACTGAGTTTATTTTTGGTAACATTGACTGGTTAATTTTCTGCCTCTCCCCTCATTTGTGTTCCTCACGGGTAGACTTGGTTTCCTTCCCTCTGAGCCCACCTCAGTCTGGCACAGGGTTAGGTACCATTTTCATGCCTGTTAGGTCTATCCATGAATGCACTTCCACGGCTGCCTTGGTGTTTAGATGCCTTGGGGGGAAAACTTAAGGGGGTGAGGAGGGAGGAGCAAACACTGCACTGCAGGTGCCACAGAAAGCCTCGGGTCTGGAGATGATGGTGAACCTAAGAATCAGCAGGTGGTAGGTGAATTCATCTCAATAGAAGAGACTCACTCCGGAAGGTGGGGAAGAAAGTAACACATATCAGTTAAATGAGTAATGAGGCATTTGCAACAGTGTAAGTAAGAGTAGTATTCATCAAACAAATATGTTGAACCCTTATTTTATGATCATCGCTTTACATAAGTATCTGTTCATCCTCACAGCATATTATCTGTGTTTTGTAAGTGAGGAGCTGTATCCTGAGATTAGGAGACATGCCCAAGGTCATAAGGACCTGCCCAAGGTCATACAGCAATTCAGAGACAGTTGGCAACTCCACGCCCTAAAACAGCTATAGTCAAAGTTGTACGTGTCACACTCCCTGTCCCCACCCCAGCTTTCTGCTGTGACACACCACCTGATGCACTGTGCATTCGGCTTGCTTATCTGTCTTCTCTTACCAAAACATAAATTCCCCTCGAGTAAGGATCTTAGTTCTGTTACTGCTTTTCCAGAGCCCGCATAGGGCTGCCACAAAAGTAAACAGTAGATGAAAGCTGGGCATGGTTGCACATGCCTCTAGTCCAGCTCTCAGGAGCCTGAGGCAGGAGGATCGCCATGAGTTCAAGTCTAGTCTGAACCACCCACATAGGAAGATCCTTTCTCAAAAAACCAAAAATAATAAAGTAAAAAAAAAAATCAAATGAATACTGACTGAATTTTAAAAGGATGAGTGAAGGATTTAAAAATTCTGGGTTCTCTACCTTTAAGAGGTGGTTCTGCAAACATGTGGCCAACAGAAGGCTCACATCCAATTGAGAAGGGAGGAGTCCACCTGGGATGGACTAGGGTGTGCTCTCACCCATCGGGGGAAGCTGTGTGAGCCAGAAGTGGTGGTGGTGCACACCTGTGATCCCAGCCCTTGGGAGGCTGAGGCAGGAGCTGCAAGTTTGTGGCCAGCTTGGGCTACATAGTGAGTTCAAGGACAGCCTGAACTACATAGCGAGATCCTGTCTCAAAAACAAAACAAACAAGCAAACAAACAAAGAGGAATAGGAAATAAAAACTATAGGGACAGGGCCTCTCATTTTAGGGATTAACAAGCTCTCCAAGTAATGGCCACAGACTTTTGAGTTTGAGAACCACAACTTAAGTTTCTCTTTCAGGGCAGTTACTACTCTGCTGCAACAGCTGGGGTGGGGGTAAGGTAACAGGGTTGAGGGATTCATACATATGGTACAGGGGGACCAGTTACAAATTGAGTAAGGGGTAGATCAGTGATTTTTTTTTTGGTGGTACTGGGGATCAAACCCAGGGCCTTCATACTGAGCTACAGACCTCGTCCTTTTATTATTTTGGGGGTTTTTTTTCCTAGTCCTTTTATTGATTGATTGAGACAGGATCTCCCTAAACTGATAAATTGCCCACTTTGGAATTTGTGGGAGTTGGAACTTGTGATCCTCCTGTACTGGGATTGCAGGCATATGCCATCACACCTGGCTGGATCAGTGATTCTTAAGGAGAAGGGATGGGGCCCTCTAGTATTAAAAAAACACAACTCTCCAGAGCACAGGTTAGTTTGCAAAAGTATGTTTTATTTTATTTTTGTCATTTAAGAGTACTTTATTATTGTTCTTAAGGCTATTTTTAAGTAAAAAAAAAAAAAAAAAACATGGCCTGCCGACCCTTTTTTTCTTCTTCTTCCAGGAAAAATAGGCCACAGAGAATGGTATCTTACTGATGTGCAGATATCAGAGGAGTCAGAACACACTGAAGACAGCCCAGCTCTGGGCGACAGCCTATCCCAGAGAGGTTGTCCCTCAACCCAGCCACTAGTACCACCCTCCCCACGAGGCACCCTGGTCACTGGCTGAGGGAGGGTCTGTGGCAGCTCCGGCCCGCGCTCAATACCCTGTAGCAGTAACAAATGTGTGGCTATGAATGCGGATGGCAGTCTCAGGGTACCTGTGTTCCTGCATGTTTATGGACGCATCCAGGACCAAAAAAAAAAATCAACTTTTTTTTTTCCAAACAATAACAACAAAATGAATGATTACGATAGGAAAGGGAAAAATTAAATAGCTAGATATCGTTAACAAATTAATTGTTCTGCAAAAGTATGTTTTAAAGTTATCATCACTATCTAGCCCAGGCTTCAAACTCAGGATCCTCCTGGCTCAGCCTCCCAAGTGCTGGCATTACAGATGTGTGCATCATGCCTGGCTTTAATTTATTTTGAAATGTCAAATGACATTAAAGGAAGCTGAAACGCAAACCACCACCCTGTACTGATTGTTTTAGTGTCTATAGCTCCAACAAGAATATAGTGCTTGGGTCTCACCTCCTGTCCGGTTCTCAGCCTCAAACAACAATAACCCCTTACTGCCTCTGAATCCATTCACACCCACCCCAGCACAGTGCCTAGGTCTCAGCTGGCCTGAGAGATAAGAGAAGCACAGTACAGCCTGAAGGAACTCAGGAGACAGGGCCCATAACTTCATGTAGCCCCTGGCTGTGCCATGCTCTGTGCTGTATTTCTGTGCAGAAGGTGCCTGCAATTAAAGAGATGACAAGGAACAATTCAGAGAGGAAACATTTCTTCTGTTTGGCAAGGATGTGGGAGGTATAGCAATACAGAAGCTTTGGTTTTTCAGTTTTGCCAGATAATAGAAAACCTGAAGTGGGCCGATGGAGAGGAGGGTGGACAGGTGGGGTGGGTCTTGCATGCTGGGTTAGGAGGCATAAGGGTCCCTAGCAGTATTCCTGGCTATCTACTGACTGCTCCATCCAGGCCTTCCTTAGGAGAGCTGAGGTTAGATAGTGACACTTGCTAACATTTACCCAGTGACTAGGACGCCAGTAATCAACCGATGTGCTACATATACGTCGCCTTTTTTTTTTTTTTTTTTTTTTTGGTACCGGGGATCGAACTTGGGACCTTGCACTTTCGAGGGAGGCGATGGAACCACTGAGCTAAATCCCCGGCCCCAAAAGCTTTATGAACCAGTATTTTTTGTTTGTTTTGTTTTGTTTTTGGTACCGGGGATCGAAATCCTTGTGCTTGTGAGGCAGGCAGAGAAACCACTGAGATAAATCCCCGGTCCCTTGTTGGCTTATTCTTTATAGAAACCCTACGAAATAGGTCCTATTATCACCCCACTTGACTGTGGGAGAAATTCAGGTGCTCTGAGTAAAACCATTGCTTGAGGTCACACACTGTACCAGGCAGTGGGGGAATCAGAATTTGAACCCAGGCTGTCTTGCTCTAATGGGATCAATGTGCTGCCCGCCAGTCTCCTGAGCGGAAAAGTATACCTATTTTGGTGAATATATGGGACACAGAAGAAAGTCCTTCCGCCTTGCTCATGCTTGAGCATTCCTTTGGGTGTAGACAATCCAGAATAAAGTGCTGTGGGAGGGTGAGGGTGTGTGTGTGTGTGTGTGTGTGTGTGTGTGTGTGTGTGTGTGTGTGTCTGTCTGTCTGTCTGTTGGGGATGACTTTGCGCATGCTAGGCAGTACTCTGCCACTCAGTTATGGCCCTAGCCCGGGAAAAATTCTTTAAGGCCCTTCCCACTAGATGGCGGCTTCTAAATCCACATAAAAACTCGTCAACCTCCATTATGCCCATCTTCCAGGGCTCTGTTGGGTTGACCATCTTCCTCAGTCTAGGGGCCTACGACCGCTGCTCAGCCCCATCTAGGGGTCGCGGGAAGCCCTAGGCCGTGTTGGGGAGGGGTCGGGGAGACGAGGCTCCCCTGTCTCCCCGCGGCGTGGGGAGGCGGCGGCGCCGGGCAGCCGCTCCCGGGCTGCAAGCGGGGTCCTTCCGCCAGCTCGCTCGCGTCCGAAGGGTGTGAGCCGGCGGCAGGTGCGCGGCGGGACTACAAGTCCCAGTATGCCTGGCGGCACTGACCCGGCCCCCGCCGCCGCTTAAAGACTCCGGCAGCCGCAGCCGTCGGGTCGCCGCGGCTTTCGCTTTGCTGCCGCGGCTGGGCTGCGTGAGGAGCGGGCTCGGCGGGCGGCTCTGCTGGCGTCCGGGTTGGGCAATACCGAGGGGTGCTCCACGTGCAGCCTTCGCGGCCCAGGCTTCCCTGCCGTGGCGCCCGTGCTCCCGGGCTCCCTGGCTCGGCCCCTACGGCCCCGATGCCGAGGCATGGATAGAGCGGTGCTGCGCGCGGCGATGGGGGAGAAGAAGGAGGGCGGTGGCGGGGGCGCCGCGGCGGCCGCGGACGGGGCCTCAGGGGCCGCGGCCGGCCGGGCGCTGCAGCAGTGCGGGCAGCTTCAGAAGCTCATCGACATCTCCATCGGCAGCCTGCGCGGGCTGCGCACCAAGTGCGCGGTGTCCAACGACCTCACCCAGCAGGAGATCCGGACCCTGGAGGTAATTCGGGGCCCCGGCGCCAGAGGGTCCGGGACTCGGACTGGGTCCGAGAATCGGCTCCAGTTCACTCCTTCTCTAGTTGCATCGTGGTGCCGGGTCGCCTCTTTGGATGCTTCCTCTCTTTGCTCCACTCACTGATGCGGCAGCTTGAGGACCCAGGACCGGCGCTCACCTTGGGCAGGATTTGGGGGAGGGGTACGGAGTGGGAACCGGGATGGAGGAAGTAGGAGCTTGTGTGCCGCCGGGGGCTCCCTCCCCGCCCCCTCTGCGCCCACACCCCATTTCCAGGTTCCGCAGGACTCATCGTCCCACTGAGTCACGCGCTGGACTTTTCCCCGAGTGCTTGAGGCCAGGGGCCGGCCGTGGGCCAAGGAGACGGGTTTGGGCCCCCCAAGTGTGAGCGCAGGCCCGCCGCCCTTTGCCTTCCCTTTACCCCCGGCTCTCGGGCTTGTCCCTTCCTTTCCTTTCCTTTCCTTTCCTCTGAGTCTGGTCTGCCGTTTTTCAAAGTGTTTGTTGAAATTGCATTTCTGCTGTTCAGGCGTTTGGTGCTTTTCTTTAGCGATGCCAGCGGTCACTGCTTAAAGTGTGATTACCCACTAACCCCCAATCCCCGCTCCCCACAAACGTTGGGTTTTGGCTTAGGAAGGATTATGCTGGAGAAGGAAGCCTTTGGTGGGAAGATGACACTAAAGTGGAGGTGGCCTGGAGTGTAAAGAAGAAATAAGATATGTGGGCTCTCCTCTCTCGAGTTATAGCTGGGCAGTGCAGTATTAAAAGGGTTGAGGCAAAAAGGTTGTTGGATTTTCAGAGGGGGAGCTCCCCCATCCTTTACACATTAGAGGAAAACTAGTTCATTCCCAGCTTGGTTTTGTCCGGGGACTGGGAGGCCTCTGAAATTGCAGGAACCAATTCTAGCTCCCCTCCTTCCACTTTGCATTGCCACATCAGGGCTCTTGTAGATCTGGGGATGTTTTGTTTTATTAGATCCTCTATTTCTCCCTCTCCCCTTGTTATTGCTAATTGCCTCAGGCAGCTGTCACGGGGCGGCCGGTGATTGCAGTAATTATTACAAGACCAGTCCTCCCTCTACATACACCACACGCCTGGATCCTTGTTTGATCCAGAATGCTTGGAGTGACTCTTTTAGTTTTTTTTTTTTAAAGCTGCAAAGCTGGAGACATTAGACGAACTCAACCAGTACTTTGTATATATATAATATATGTATATATGTATATATATTATATATAATATAATCATGTATATATTATGTATATATATTATATATATATCTACAGTTGCTATAGCAGGACTGACCAAGGCTCTTCTTTAAAAACAAACCAACAAAGCCCTCCCAATGAGCCCTTTTGCATAGGTATTGCTGTTTTCCAAGTGAAACTGCTTTCCCGAACAGCCTGGCAAAGTTCAGTTTTTAAGCAGACAGAATAGGGGGCCTGTGTGGCTCAGTTCCAGGAGGAGGGTCGTCGTCTGGCAGTGTGTGTCTGGTTTGACTGCTCTGTTGCTGGGCTGAGAGAATGTTCTCTGGGTTGGTCTCTGTTGGTGTGTCCACCTGCTGTTCAGAAGCCTCCCTTTACTGTTCATTCTCTGCCCATAGCTCTTTGTCCTCCAGGTATCCTGACTTACATAGTTGCACATTTTGACAAGGGTGTGGCACCCTGACACCCCACTGCATCCAGCTGTTTCGATCTCTGAGCTGGTTACTCAATGGCCTCCCTGCGGAGGAGGGAGCAGTCATCTTTGGCAGCTGGAAAGTCATTGAAGGCTCAAGTGCTATCTGCAGAGTGTATGGCGCTAACACCCAGTCCCTGTTCTTTCTGCTGGTGTGGAGTCAGGGTCACCCTGCCCCCTGAAAAGGCAGGACATGTATTTGGCTTGGGAATTTAAACCCTTGGACCTAGTTCCCTGGGGCTGCTATCAGCTAAGTTCTGTGAGTCACTGCATCCTGAATCCCTCAGGCTTCTCTCTCATCTGCAAAGTAGGGAGGTTGGAGCACAGAGGGCCCTTAAAGTTTTGCATTCTGTAGTTTAGTGAAGGAGGCTTATGGGTTGAATTAAATATTTGTGATCTCTTTATCATATCCATATTTTAGGAAGTTTTCTTTTCTTTGACATGCAGGTCTTGTTATGTAGTTCAGACTGGCCTTGAACTCACTATGTAATGTAGCCTAAGCTGGCCTTGAACTCCTGGCGATCCTCCTAACTCAATCTCCCAAGTGCTGGGTGAAGGCATATGTTACCATGGCCAGTTTAGAACAGGTCTAAAATCCAGATTTACTGCGATGATAAGGCAGGAGCCAAATTTATTACTGCGAGAATCTTTTATTTTTTTCCCTTCTAGTACTGTAGATTGAACCCAAGGCCTTCACACTGAGCTATATCCCCAGCCTTTTATTTTTTGTTTTTTAAGACAGGTCTCACTATGTAGTTCAGACTGGCCTTGAACTCACTATGGAGCCTAGGCTTGCCTCGAACTTCTGCCTCAGCCTCTCAAGTACTGGGATTACAAGCATGTACCTGGTCCCAGCCCTTTATTTATTTTGAGATAGGATTTTGCTAAATTGGCCAAGCTAAACTTCAATTTAGGATCTTTCTACCTTAGTATTGACCATAGGAACAGTGTGGTGAACAGAAAGCCCACAGCTTTGAAATTAGTCCTGGTTGTGCATGTGACCTGGGGCAAGTCCCATGACATCTACTGTCAAGCTCTTGGTCTGTAAACTGGGGAGGACCACTTGCTCCTATGACCGACCATATCCAATTTCTTGGTGTGTGCTGTCACTACTAAGATTCTGCCTATAAACTATCCCTGGGGAGAGCCCAAAGGCATTTACTCCCCAGGGCATGTTTCAGAGGAGGAATTTCTACAGCTGATTTCCTAGAGGTGGATGACACAGGCTAGGAAGCATCCCAGCGGGCTGGTTGGGTGTGGCTCACTACCGGCAGCAGTGCAAAGGTCTGGTGGGCCTTGGGAGGACCTACTCTGCTTTTTTTGCTGCTCTGAAGGCTCTCTTTATGTACTGGGCTGGGTCCCCAGAGACTGAGCTTGCAACATTGGATTCCTGGCATTTGAAGAGGGGTCTGTCTCTGGGGTCTGGCTTGTGCAACATCAGACATCTTGCAGAACTTTAGGAACCTCAGCTCAGTCTGGCTGTCATTAAATGGGCACTTTGTGGGAGAAGCAGCATGTGAAATGTCCCTTGGAAGGCCCTTACCAGGGACAGGCTGCTGTTGCTCAAGACCCCAGATTGTGATGGTGAGCAGGCATCCCGCTGCCTGGCTAGCCCGTGCCTAGCTGTCCTCTGGGGAGCCATCCAGCTTGGATTGAAAGGGGTAGAAGGAGCCAAGTTTTAATGTTTGCTTCCTGTGTACCCAGTAGTGTGCTGGCCTCTTCTTGATCTCGTAGGATTTCCTGGAGATCCACCAACCTTCATCAGAACACACATTTTTTCCTCTCTAAATTGAAAGGGGGAGTGGGATGCAGCCAGAAGCCAGAGTTGAATCTGTAGACAGAAGTTGTGGAGCTGCTTTACCCTGGCAGAACCTGGTGCCCTGTCCCCATTAGACCCTCCTAGGGTCTCAGAACTCCATGAGGCAAGTAGGGAGGTTCCCATTCCCCGGCTGTGCTTGTTGAGGGACACCTGGCCTGCCTCACGGCTGGACCCACCTCAAGTCATTTCATGCTTTCATCCTCCACGTGCCAGCACTGGGGAGACAGGGGTGTGCAAAAGCAGATGCTCATGTCACCTCCTGAAGATTGGCTTTTTGGGTATGTTGTGACTTGCTCTTTTCTGCCAGCCCACTAGCCCTTCTCAGAGAAGGCTCTGCCCAGCCAGTCTCCCACCCTGTGCATGTGCAAGCTGACCTGGAGAAGGGTGCCCCAAAGGGCTGTGATGCTGAGGCATTGCTGGAAGGGGACACTGGGGGACTCTAGTGAGTAGGTACAGTCTCTGTGCTTTGGCTGCTTCTCCAAGCAGTTGCTCTGGAGCAAGAAGGTGCCTGGGGAAGCCCTACAGCTCCTTGATCCTTGGAAAGTCACAGAGGCCTGACGCTGTTCCTCACTGGCAATGCAGGGAGGTCAGAGCTTTGCTCTGTGAGGACCTGAGCTCTCCGTGTCTGACCCCCCGCCCCAATCTGGACAACAGAACTGCTGGAAGCAGAGAGGGTTGCCCATGTCCTCAGATTAGATTCCCAGGGGATGCATGGATGTACAGTCATGGACAAGCCTTCTTACTGGTGATCCTTACCAAGCTCTCAGCTGGCAGCTTTCCTGGTGAGGTTCTGAGGTAGGTGGGATGCTTCTTTAGCTTGAAGGACACTTTCAGTCTACGTGGGGAGCCAGACAGGTGGAGAGCAGTGCCCCTAGTGCCATAGCTCTCTGATTGTGCTTAGGAGTGGAATTCTCAAATTTTGAATCCTGCTGAACTTTTGGCCAGACCAGCCTCCTGGTCCCCTAGGAAATATTCCCAGAGTCTTGGTGACCTCACCCATGTCACATGTCCCTGGCAGAGCTGAGACTGAAACCTGGCCTCCTTTTCTGACCTGGCTGCTCTCATCGTGCATGGCAGTGGTGGTGAATCTGTGGTACGCGTGCGCAGGTGGCTGTTCTTGTTGTAAGCTCTAAAAGGTTCACCATTGCTGGTGTATGGTATTTTTCCCACCTCAGTTTTAGCTCTCTGTGTTAGCAACTTCAGTTGTTCCTGAAGGGGCACAGAGCTGCAGTGTTGTCCCTTTGCGTGTCCACTTTCATCTCGGCAACTTTTTCCTTAGACAAACCTACTTCTCAAGCATTCCTCGTCCGTCCTTGGCACTAGGGATTGAACCCAAGACCTTCACATTGAGCCATATCCTGCCTCTTTTTATTTTGACATGGGGTCTTGCTAAGCCAGTAAGTTGACCAGGTGGAGCTCAAATTTGTGAACTTCCTGACTCGGTCTTCCAGAGTGCTAGGATTACAGATATGTGCTACCACACCTGGCTTCAAGT